ACAGACTGACTGACCGACTGACCGACTGACCGAGCCAGCTCCTGCCCGCCCCTCACCCCGCCCGCCCCCTCTCTGTGGCCGCCTCCGTCCGCGGCTGCCGCTGCTGCCACTCTGCTCTCGCCGCTGCTGCTGCCGCCGCCGCCGCCGCTGCTCTGCCACACTACACACACTGCACCTCCCTAGCCGCCTCGCGACCTCGCCATCGCCATCATCCTCCCTACGCTATCCCCCATCGTCCACCACCCACCACCCATCACCCCTACCGCCCGCCCGCTCGCCCGCGTCTCGACCTCGACACCATATCTCTCCACGAATCTCTGCGCCGGCGCCACTCGTTCATCCGCCGCTCGCCCATCTCTCGCCTCCCCACGTCGTCCTAGACTCCGGCCAACAGCTGCGCGGTACACGTCTACCACCTTTCCCCGCCCGTCCTTCGCCCCGTCTACTCTGCATCCTTCCTCTCGAGGACCCGTTGCACCCTGCTCTGCGTCAATCCAACACCTCGGCGTAGCATTTGTGGCTTGGCTCCTTCTCCATCCGGCCACCCATCTTGGACTCTCCCGACCCAACTTGCCTTCCCCCTTCGCCCTCTGACCTCGGCCTCGACCGATCGACACTCGTCCTGCCCACACCTTGCCTCTTGAACCTCCTCCTGTGTCCCTGTCCCTCTCGTCGTCACCGACCCCTTTGTCACCGCTGCGCCCTTCCCTCGTCCCTCGCCCATCACCGCCGCCGCCTGCACCTTGCACATTGCAACGCTATCCCCCTGGCCATCTTCCGACTCGCCATCCAGCCAGTCTGTATGACCGTCGAGCCTCGCCCCCGCCCAACCGTCTTCTCCCTATAGCGACACTCGACAGCCGCCTCCCTCGGCACGCGGATGCCATCCACCTGTCCAACACTGTGCCCCCGCAGCGTCCCGCGATAGACGTTCGTACTCCCTCGCCACCCGTCACGCCCCCTCGAACACACGCTCGGCGCCGGCCTCGATCCCATCCGCAGGTACCGAGCCTCGGCACCGACCCCCCAGTCCAACACTCCGGCGGGGTGAAACTGGCCAGGCATGCCAGAGGGCAGGTCCCCCATCAGCCCTAGCAGCTCCGCCCAGGCCCCCTGGAGCGACCAGCTCTCGCCGCGCAGACCGCCACAGCGGTCCAACACAGGACAGTCCGACGCCGGCTCTTCCTACCACTCGCACTTCGTCTCCGCCGACGACACCGACGACGCCGCTGGCCAGCTCGGCGTCGGCATCGCCAGGATGAACACGGCCGACTCCGCCGAGGGCTCCTCCTCCTCGCGACTAGACCACGGCGCCAGACGCTCGCCCGTCGGGCCCATGCCACCGGGCGCCTTCAGGTCCAGCTCGCGTGCCTCGTCGCACGAGGGCGGCGGTGGCGGTGGCGGTGGCGGTGGCGCAGGGTCGCGCTCGCACTCGCCGGCACCCGGCTCCGACGTCGCAGCCCTTCGGCAGCAAGACAGGGCGGAGCTGTCGCCCAGCCCTTCGCTCAACGTACCCGGCGAGGGCAACGAAGCGAGGGGAAGGCGGCGAGCGGACACCGACAGGATCAAGAGCCGCGCCGTCGACCCGGGCTGGAGCTGGGAACAGGAGAAGGAGAAGCACGAGGGTGCTGCCGCCGCCGGCTTGACCTCATCCCCACAGCAGGCCAGCGGCGCAGCTCGAGAGGGGGTCGCACCGGTGCCTGGCCCCGGCCCACACCTTCCGCGCCGCGCCTCCTCGCGACCCATGCCGCGGATCGACACCAGCGGGCAGGCCAACGGCAGCAGCCACGCGGCCGCCAGAAAGGGTTCCCACAGTGCGCTGCCTTCGCCCGACGGCGGGCCGATGCCCGGATCCAGCATCGCCTTGGTGCAGAGCGGAATGTCGGATGGCAGCGCGGGCCAGGTGCCGTCCTCGGGCAACGCCGGCGGCGGAGGAGCGTCCGGCAGCCAGTCGCAGCTCAGCAGCAAGGAGCGCGGCCACTCGAGCCGCAAGGAGCAGAGCTGCCGCGCGTGCGGCAAGGTCATGACGGGCCAGTTTGTGCGCGCCCTCGGCAGCGTCTACCACCTGGACTGCTTCCGATGCAATGTGAGTACCCTCGCCTCCTCAACGCGCGTCCCCGGTTCGACCCGTTGCTCAGGCAATATAACTAATGCCCCCTCGTCTGCTCATCTTGGCTCCTTGTGCGCCGCCCCTCGGCCTGCAGGACTGCAACAAGGTGGTGGCGGCCAAGTTCTTCCCGGCGACGGACGACATGGTCGACTCGGCCGGCACGGGCAAGCTGTTCCCGCTGTGCGAGACCGACTACTTCCGGCGGCTCGACCTGATCTGCGCAAAGTGCGGCGGCGCGCTGCGCGGCAGCTACATCACCGCGCTGGGCAAAAAGTTCCACGTCGAGCACTTCACCTGCTCCGTCTGCCCGACCGTCTTTGGCCCGCAGGACAGCTACTACGAGCACGACAGCCAGGTCTTCTGCCATTTCCACTACAGCACCCGCTTCGCCATCAAGTGCACCGGCTGCAAGACGGCCATCCTCAAGCAGTTTGTCGAGATCAATCGCAACAACAACGACGAGCACTGGCACCCCGAGTGCTACATGATCCACAAGTTCTGGAACATCAAGCTGTGTCCGACCGGCTCGACGCCGCGCGAGGGCGTCGCCAGCGAGCCGACGACGGTGCCGTCGGCGCCGGAGCCGTCCAACTCGGGCGTGGCGCCGACGCTCTCGGTGGCGGCCGACGCGATGCCCACCGTCGACGCCCTCGAGATCGAGGCCAAGGAGACGCCGTCGAGCCTCAAGCAGAAGCAGAAGCGGATGGAGGAGCGCGTCTACCGCATCTGGACGGTGCTCTCGGCGTTCGAGGAGAGCTCGGCCGCCTGCATCTCCGAGATGCTGCGCCACGTCAGCAGCGGCCGCTACCTCGGCGGCGTGCGGATGGCCGAGCGCTTCATCCTCCACGTCGAGGTCCTCTTCTCGGCCATCGACGACCTCGAGGCGCACTTCCGGCGCGAGGAGGCCAAGGGCATCTCGCACATCCGCGAGGCGCGCATGCTGTGCAAGAAGATCGTCAACTTCTTCTCGCTCCTCTCGCACACGCAGGAGACGGGCGCGCGGCGGATGGGCATCACTCAGGAGCTGCTCTCGCTCGTCACGGGCCTCGCCCACTACCTCAAGATCCTCATCCGCATCGCCCTCACCGGCGCGCTCAAGCTCGACCGCGAGTACGGCAACGACGGCGCGCTCGGCTGGTTCCTCAGCCAGCTCGCCTTTTCGGCCAAGCTCGGGGGCTCGCAGAACGACGACCAGCAGTTTGCCTCGCTCGACACCAACGCCGTCGGACCGGACGGCAAGTGGTACGGCTACCGCAGCCTGCCGCGGAGCACCAGCTCCGGATCCTCAGAGACCGGCGAGACGGCCACCGACCTCTGCGTCGCCTGCGGGCAGACGGTCGAGGAAGAGTGCCTCCGGATGGGCGTCAACCTACGGTGGCACTCGAATTGCCTCAAGTGCAAGGGCTGCAAGCGGCCGGCCATCCGCGAAGGCCTGTCGTCCAAGAAGCCCGCCGAGCCCAAGGCCGACGCGCCCGAGCCGCTGCCGGCGTCGCAGTTTGGCCTCGACGTCGTCCGGCGTGCCCCACAAGAGTCGAGTGGTGGCGTCGGCCCCGGTGCCGGTGCAGGGCGGCCCCCGGCCCTGACCTACGCGTGCTTCTGCCCTAGCTGCGTCCACGCAGCTGTGGGCCAGCTGCGGTCAGGCTTCGAGTCGGTCACGCGCCTCGAGCAGTACGCATTCCTCCTCCGCGTCGCCCTCAACCGCCTGTTTGCGCTGCTGCGAAAGCGCGGCGTGGTGCCCCCCTCGCCGCCAACGGCCCCTGTCACGCTGCGCGACGCATCGCACAAGGACGCGGCGGCATCGGTCGGCGGCCAGGATGCCGGTCGCGGCAGCGGGGCCAGCGGTGCCGACGGCGACGGCGACGGCGACAACGGCGTGTCGATGCACGAGGCCTACCGCGACTCGCAGGACATCAAGCGGATGAAGTCGGTCAACCTCGACCGCAAGCTCTCGACCAAGGCCAAGGTGCCGCGCATCTCGACGATCGTCGGCAGCCCCTCGGGCCGGCAGACTCAGACTTCGGACATGCAGCGGCCCTCGCCCACCGAGCTCGCCAGCCAGCAGCTCGAGTCGCGTCGCTCGCCAAGGTCCGCCAGCCCAGGATCCTCGCGTGGCGACCGCAGCTCGCCCCGACCCCAGGCGTCTTCGCGGGAGCCGTCGCCGAGCGGGCGGGATCCGAGGCTGTACCAGCCGTCGATGCAGAGCCAGCAGGCGATCGCCGCGTCGCAGCAGCAGCACGTCCAGCAGCAGCAGCAGCAGCAGCACTTCCGCGGCCGAGGCACCCAGCCGACGCCGGCCCAGCAGCAGCAGCAGGCGGTGCCATCGATCCAGCAGCCCCCCTCGACGCCGACGGCCTCGTCGATGCAGCGCGGCGCGTCGCCCGCCGCACCCGAGCCGGGCTCCATCGTGCCCATCCGGCCGCCGTTTGCGCGCCACAACACCGACGTGCGCATCCGCGAGGACGGTCCGATGCGGCAGCCCTCGGGCGACGAGATGGCCAAGTCGGCCCCTAGCGAGGACGGCATCACGCTGGCCGACATCCCGCACATCCTCGAGGCGGAGCAGGCGCGCGAGCAGCACCGGCCCATACCCAACGAGGGCGCCCGCACCATCTCGGAGCTCTCGGCGCTCGAGCTGTTTATCGTCAAGCACATGGCCGTCATGATGCTGCAGCAGTCGGCGCTCAAGGACATGGTCAACCTCGACGACCTGATCGAGTTCATCGAGACGCGCAAGAACACGTTCTGGGGCAAGTTCTTCAAGGGCGGCAAAGACAAGAAGGAGATCAAGAAGAAGGGTGAGTGGCCGCGCGTGTTGCCTCCGGTCTCGTTGCGACGAGGCATCTTGTCGCTGACTCGCTGGTCTCTGCTCCTCCCCTCTTCTGCACCCGCTGGGCAGGCGTGTTTGGTATTCCGCTCGAGATCCTCGTGGAGCGCAACGGCGCCGACTCGACGCTCGGCGCCAGCGCCGCACACCTCCGCGTGCCGTCGTTTATCGACGACATCATCTCGGCCATGAAGCAGATGGACCTGTCGGTCGAGGGCATCTTCCGAAAGAACGGCAACATCCGCCGGCTCAAGGAGCTCTCCGAGGCCCTCGACCGCGACAGCTCGCAGGTCAACCTGCTCGACGACAATCCGGTGCAGCTGGCGGCGCTGCTCAAGAAGTTCCTACGCGAGCTGCCGGATCCGCTGATGACGTTCAAGCTGCACCGGCTGTTTGTCATGTCGCAGAGTGAGTATCGCACTGCGGAGCCGTGCGCTGCGGCGTGCGCGAGTGCGCGCGTGCGATCGATGGCATGCCAGCTGCTCTCCTCTGACCAGACTTTCGCTCTTGGCCCCCTCTTCCGCCGTCCTTCGTCCGCTGCCCTCTCGCAGAGCTCGAGTCGGAGGACGAACGGCGCCGGATCCTGCACATGGTGACGGTGCTGCTGCCCAAGAGCCACCGCGACACGATGGAGGTGCTCTTCGCCTTTCTCAAGTGGGTTGCCTCATTTTCGCACATTGACGAGGAGACTGGCAGCAAGATGGACCTGCCCAACCTGGCCACCGTCATCTGCCCCAACATCCTGTACTCGAAGGGCACCGACCCGGCCAAGGACGAGACGTTCCTGGCCAACCGCGCCGTCAGCTACCTGCTCGAGAACCAGGACGACTTCTGGACGGTGCCCGAGGAGCTCGAGGCGGTCCTCTACGACCGGGAGCTGCTCAGCGCGTCGGCCGAGCTGACGTCGCGCGACATCCTCAAAAAGTGTGAAAAGTACGCCAAGCGGCAGCGGGTGCCCGGCGTCAACGGGCCGCGCGGCACGGGCAACGGGCCCTTCCACGCTGGCGAGATGACGAACCGACATCGGCCAGACATGCACCCGCCGACGACGATGCGGCAGATCCAGATGGAGAGCCACAGCTACCGCGGCAGCAGCAACAACCACAGCGGCAGCAGCGGCAGCAACGGCATCGGCACCGGCCACGCGCCCCACGCCCAGCAGCTCGGTGCTGGCAACGCCTACTCGCGCAGCCCGGACAGCGGTGGGCCGTGGTCGGCGGGCAGCGGCGGGGCGGCCAACTTTTCCAGTCCGACGGACAGGCTGCCGCCGTCGAGCCATGCGACGCCGCAGAAGCCGTCGACGTTTGGGCCGGGCGGCCACGGCGGGCAGCCGCCGCGGACGCCGACGCAGCTCAACGGTCCGGGCCTGCCGTCGGTCTCTGGGCATCCGCAGCAGCAGCAACCGCAGCAGCCGCAGCAGCCGGGGCAGGCGCACCACAACAACCATCATCACCACCATGCGGCGGCGAGCTACGGCTCGGGCCAGCAGCCGTCGACGCCGCAGGGCTTCTACCCTCGCAGCGGCACGCCCTCGGACGGCGGCGAGCGGAATCGCAACATGCCGGTCGAGCAGCGGTCGAGCTGAGCGCGAGCGGCAAACGGCGGGCCGCCTTGCTTGCAAAGCAAGGCCACGGGTGCTTTGATCTACATCTACATCTAGCCTTCTCACCTCTCACCTGTCATTCTTCTTGCCTAGCGCCATGGTCCTTTATCGTATTTCTAGGGCGCCGGCTCGGTCCCGGCCCTCTTGGTGCCTACGGAGAGGGTGGCGTGCCGGCGTGGCATGGCCGGAGGTGTGGGGCCTGCGCCGAGCCGACTTCCTCGTGGTCACACTCGCCTTGTTGCCGTGCCGTATTCATTCTCCTATCGACGCCCCAGGTTGCGCGATTTCGCACCACCGTCAAGGCTTCTGCGTGCTTCTTCAGCCTGCCTTTCAACCGCCTTGGCTCCTCGCCAAGCACCCGTCCACCCACCTTGGCCTACCTATCGTTGTTGTTCGTTTTTCCGTTGTCGACCTATCTGCGTCCGTCGATCTTGGCGAGAGAGAGAAGAAATGCAAAGGGAATCATCCACCATGCGGTCCGGTGCGGGTCTCTGGCTGGGTCTAGTCGACGAGGCAGGCCGTCGAGCGGGGAAGGGGTCTGGGGAAATCGGGTCGACGGGCTGCGCTGGTGGCGTTGGGGGAGTCTGGCCGTCGCCGTCTTCCTGTCAAGACGCACGAACGGGGTGGGGTGGACGGGGAAAAGGAGAATAGGGGGGGTGCGGGGTGCGGGGTGCGGAGGGTGGGTTGCGGAGAATAGGCACGGCTTGGCTTGGCCAGCGTGCGCAAATGTGGGCGTAGGGCGCCAGGCCCTGTACGCTGACGCTGTACGGCGCCCCTGACTCTCGTCCTCTCTCTCTCTCCATCCCATCGCATCGAATCGCATCTCCCTAGGCTGCCTCTCTGCTCGTGTGTCGACGGGCTAGGCTAGGCTAGGGCATGCCGGCGTCATACCACATCGTCGAGATCAACATGCATGCATGCATGACCTGCCTAGCATCTGGACCGCCCGGTAGGTATGCCATGCCCTTCTGGCCCAGGCGCAATCCAACAGGACCAGAGAACTGACGGCCTCTTTGCCCCCCCACCCCCCTCCCCCCTCGCCCCGCCCTGGCTTGGTTTGGCAAGGGTCTCCCTTAGCTTTCCTTTCATGCTGCGTATGCGTGCGTCGTTGAAGGCCGTACTGCCATCGTCCCTCCTCGCTCTCCGCGACCCGGCCTCAGATAGAGGATTGGCGACTGCTCCTCGCACCCGGAGACGAGACCGGTGGCACGACCTCGGATTGGGGTGGGCATCATTTCGAGCGGACGGACGACGATACCGCAGCCGTACGCGGTGCCCTCGCCACGCCCCCCTCTCATCCCGTCGCATCCTGCGCCCAGGGCTGGGGCTGGGGCTGCACTTGGTCGCTCCCACCGCCTTGGGGCGCAATACTGCCTCGCTAGGTTGTCTCGTTTGAGGCTAACCATCTAGGGTCCTGGCGAGCGTGTACGCGCGTGCGTGTGCCTAGCAGCCTAAGGCCAGGGCTTGTGCTCGTGAGTCCCCCTCCCTCGATGGCTTGCCACCAGGTCCATCCTCCTTTCCCCCTCCCTCTCCCTCCCTCCCTCCCCTCGTCCTCTTCCCCTTCCTCAGTTTCCCTCCTCATCCTCGCCCTGTCCCTCGCTTCCTCAGCCCTCTCGCTCAGCTCTCGACCCGGCCATCCTGCCTCTCTCGACCGATAGGCCTCTACGCCGTCGTCGTGTGCTCAATCTACGTCCCCCCCTCCCCTCCCTCCCTCGTGGCTGCCGTTGCGGCCCTCACCTTGGATCACGCCGCTACCCGTCACCGACCTACCCCCCTCACTGCGGCCGTCCATCCCTCTCGACGGTACCGCGAACTCCCCGCAGACAGTCCGATGTATCCGGATGCGCCGCCGCTCGCTCCTCTAGCGTCCAGCAACTACCCACCATCACCACAGCGTCCAGCGCCCTCGCCATCCCAGACGAGCAGGGGGCATGATCACCTCGGCAACACTCCCGCGCCCGTTCAGGTCCAGGTTCACGACAAGGCACAGGTCCGACAGAGCAGCGATCAAGCTTCAACGAGGGCCACCGCCGCACCGATACGCGACTACGATGTAGATGCCACGCTCCGACCCTCTCAGGCATCAAAGGCTCAGGCCTATGACCCAGGCGCGACGACGGCATCAGCAGGCACACGGCCCCGCTACGATCCGGAGCCCTACCGCCCCAGAGAAGCCTACCGCCCCAGCCAGCGAGGGCCCACGGCATCCGCCCAGCGAGGCTTCTACATCCCTCCGCCCGGGTACAACGTCACCCCGACCTCTTCCAAGCTCGAGGACGGCGGCGCGCGATCTCGACAGGATGCGGCGGCGCAAGCACAGGAGGCGAGCAGTGGCTCCTCATCCTGCCACTCGAACCCTTCCGCTGTCGACGGCGGTTACTGGCCGAGTCCGCCGCGCGATTGGCAGCCGCAGCTGCAGCGCATCGAGGCGCGCCCTGGCCTCGCGACGTACGGCGGCCACGGCGAATGGCACCCCATCGAGACTTCGCCCGGCCGGTGGACGTGGATGCCCGTGATCCGGACGAGGAGCGCGGGCGATTCTGGGCTGGACGCCTTCTTTTCGAGCCTCTCGCACAACGACTGGACGGTGCCCCAGGCCAAGCAGATGCTCACCAGCTGGGCCACGGTCGCCACGCTGCTGGCAGGCACGCAGGGCACGCTGCTGACGCTCTACAAGAGCGATCTGCACCCGACCAGCGTCGGGTTCGGCTTCGCGGCCCTCTTTCTCGAGATCTGGGGCGCCATGACGGCCACCATCTGCATCGTCGTCAGCATCACGCTCCAGGGCGCAGACGAACACGGGGCGGGCCGGCGTTCCGCCAGCATGCACCGCCGAGGGGCCAACGACGTGTACAGCTCGCCCACGGCGGCGGCGCCAAAGAAGCGACTGTCGATCAAAGCGGCATGCATCCTGGACCGCCTGACGCTCGCGACGGGCTGGATCGTGCCGTCCGGAGCGATCCTCGAAGTCATCGGCATCCTTGCCTACGTCACCGCCCAACACAACGGCCGCCTCCTGTACGGCCTGGTGACGACCATGTGCCTGAGCGCCGGCGTGACGGTGTTCGCCATCGGAGCCGGGTACTACAGCGGGCACTGCCAGCAGGCCAGGCTGCGCGGCGTCGGCGAGGTCCGCCGTCGACCGATGTCGGATCGCCACCAAGCCGATACGGGCGCCGATCGACGGTACCGTGGGCGGGGGCGAGGCAAACGCGGTGTCGACCCTGACGGCGGCGGCGACGGCCGCGGCGACGCTCCTGGATCCGAGAAGCGGGCGCGCGGGGGCAACGACGATGCCGAAGAGGAGCTGGATGAGCGCGGTCCCGGCTTCTGCGGGCTGCCCTTGATGGGGTGGAGAGACCACGGCGAGTACGGACCAGACTATGCTGACAGCGACAGCGACGTCGACGGCGGCGGCGACGGGCTCAAGCTCTTCGACGGAGGACGGGGCCAGGGTCCGGGCCAGGGCCAACTTCCCTCGCCACTCGACGCCGTCGTCGCTTGCTGACGCGCCCGCATCGACGCGTCTCTACCTCGGTCTGCGTCTCTGCCAACGCTGCGGCGCCGGCCAGCATCCGATCCACCAACGCCAACGACCTGTTTCCACGTTCACGACACATTCGAAACGCCACGAAGCATTCATAGATACCCTCTTCCCGCGCTCGCCACATACAAAGCATCACGATCCACGACTCTACACGCAATGCAACGACCTACCTCTGCCCCCGATGGCGTGTCCGTTGGTGCGCTTGCGGGGCTGAACCCGTTTGAACCAGCCCAGGAAGGTGGGGCATGAGCGCCGGATCGTTTTGTGTCCGTCGTGGCTTTCGGGTTGGAGGCACGGATCGGTCGCTAGCCTCGATGCGAAGGGGCGAGGGGATGAGCCCTGACTAGGCCTAGCTAGTCGCCGCCTCTGACCATGGGTCCGGGCAAGACAGATGGGCACGTACGATGCCAGCTCAGACGCAGCGAGCTGGTACGACCCTGCTCCTGCTGCTGCTCCTGCTCGGGCATCACACGTCACCACCTGGACCGTCTGCGGCCCACTGGCGACCTGTGCGACGCTCCGGGTGGAAGGCGTACGACCGGACGGCCGCTCGACGAATCGCGATCCCGGATCAGACCTTGGCTGTCATGCCACATCATCAATGTTGAACCTACCCACATGCTGACCCACAACATTACGGAACTGGCATGGGGTGGTGCAGCAATGGACTTTGCGTGATGAGGTGCGTTTGGCGCCCCATTTCTTCAGCCGGAACGCAACTGCCGCGAGGACAGAGGACCCGCTAGAAGCAAAGGGGGTGGGTCCTCGACCTAAAGATGCCAGCGAACACTGACTGACGTGGTGCGCAGCGACGAGGACCCCCACCGTGGGCGACGGGAGGTGGGGGCGTACAAGCCCCTCGTCTGTGTCTGCGTCCCTCCGAGAGCCACGCCTGGCCTCTATAAAGCCGGACATCCTGCGCCCGCAAAGACCTCGACCGCACCTCAACACTCCAACCGTGCAGGCCAAACTCCCCGACACACAAGCCTTGACCAGACCGACAAGCATGAAGCTCTCCGCCCTCCTCACCGCCCTCGCCGTCGCGCCCTTGGCGCTGGCCGCGCCGTCCTTGCCGTCTGGCAAGACGTACGAATGGCGCTTCACGATCCTGACATTCGGATACGGCGTAAAGATCAAGTCTCGAATCCAGTTCATCACGGGACCGAAGCCCAAGATGTGCTTCAAGCTCGACCCGAACCAGCCGACGCCCGGCACCGAGGGCCTGGACTGGCAGATGTTTGCCAACGGTGAACCGCTCCACGATGAGGCTCTCATCGGAGCCTGCTGGGATGCAGGCGTGAACCTAGTCACCCTCGGCTGGTCCATCATCGACGGCAAGGACGTGCCCGGTTTGGAGATCTCTAGTAAGTCACAGCCGCGGGTCCAGCTGGGAAGCGAGCGTCGAAGACGCCGCATGCAGGGAGGTTGGCAGAGCGCTGACCTCTGTAACAGTCTGTAAGCCGGTCCCAGATGTCGGCGCCGCGGTGCTCGACAACACACCCTGCTACAATAGGTGGATCTCCGGCAGGTGGACGGTCGCCTAGATCGGCCGCAAGGCTCGACAGGAGCAGGTGGCTGCACCTCGCTCCACTCGGCGTAGCATGCGCCGAGGTACCTTCAAGGTGCGGCGCGGCAGCGCGGAGCCCGACCACAGGCGCCTGCCAACGAGCCCCGCGGTCGGGGCGTCGTCCTACTTGGTGCCTTGGTAGTCGCCGAAAGGCACCAGCCGTTTGTCTCTGCGGGACCAAGGTCCCATTCTCTGAATCAAATGGTCCCCATCTCCCGGTCCTGTAGTCGGCCACGAGCGTCGACGGTCTCAACGCGCTGCGAGGTCGGCACGGTCGCCACGAGTAGCGGGCGCGGGCGGATTTGGGCAGTAGTGGATTGCGCAGCGCGGATCGCAGATAGCGGCTGCAAAGCTGGCGAGTGCGGACTCTAGCGACTAAAGCGATACGAAAACCGCTCGATCGAGAGCTAGGTGAAGCTCTGGCTCCCGTAGACTTTTGAGACGAGGCTGCTCGGCCACGGCTGCGCTGCCGTCGCGACAGATAAGGGTCCCATTCGGCGTCCAGCTTGCATCCCGCAGCGCCGTTCTGAGCCCAAGCTGTGGAACACAGCAAAGTCTCCGCCCTCCCCTCAGGCGAGGGCAGTCCGGGGGCGATGATTATTGTCGACTTGCTGGAGGCTTCCACGGAAGTCGGTATCTGTGGCCAAGGGGTCCAGCGGAAGGCCGCACTCCGGTAATTCCAGTTGTCCGCCATCTCGACGAAGTCCGGATGGAGAAGAGGCAGCCTTTGACAGCCTGGCCCCATAGTGGTCTGCTGGAAGATCGTCCTGCCGATGATATTGAGACGATGACCCACTTCCCTCGGCAATCTCAGAAGGCAGCAACTTGGTTGCTCTCATTCGATTCAGCAAATCCCTGTCTCCCGGCCCGGAAGGCATCCCATCGCACGGTGGGACTCGCGATCCCGTGAACGCGCGAGGTCCGCCCATCTTGTGGGCAGTTGCATCCAAGGCCAGGCAGGGCGAGAAGGTATAAAAGGCGGGCAGTCGTGGCATCGCTCTCTGAGAGCAGACCCCAGCTACACATCGACATGAAGCTCCTCGCCATCTCCAGCTTGCTCTTGCTCGCCGCCACTACCGGTGCGCGGGCCGAAGCCTACACACTTGCCATCAAGTCCCACGACGGCCAGATCGGCCACCTGATCTATGACTACGACGATCAGACTGTTGGCTTCTACTACATCAGCGAGGTCGCCCCGGACCCAAGCTCCCAGGACTGGGACCTGTACGTCGATGAAGATAGTAAGGTGGACGTCGTCAGTGGCAGGTACAACAAGCCGGTGGATGCCGACGATCCCAAGTGGCCGCGCGTCTTGACCGATGTGCTCCGGGAGCTCGTGGATGGGCGGCCCTATTCAAACCTCCGCATCAAATGTGAGTCGGTTGCGAAGCGGGGGACCCTACTTGCTTCAACATCGGACCACTTACGGCCGCCTTGACCCACCGATATCCCTAATACAGTGCAATCCGAGGGCGAATACGAGGACTATCCCATTTCTGGTGTCTTCAGCCAGCTGTCGGCTGCAAGCAACACGTAGCCGATTACCGCACGGCATCGCTAAAGGTCATCTGTGGAATGCGATGCTATCTCGGTGCGGCAAATCGAAGCCTGACCGGGCCCGTTCAGCTCCGCGCGGTCTCGGAGAGGCAAACGTTGTCAAGCCGTTGCTTTTGGTCCTCTCACCTTGCTGCGAGCCCCTCCGTCGCCCATCGGAATACGGTCCGACCCTCTCCTTCCCTCCTTGACTCTAGCGTGGTCGGCATGGCCGCTGTCGCAGCGTGTACTAGCACGCGTGCATCGTTCGGCGGCCCTTGTCGACGGTCCATGTCGGGCTGCGTTCTTCCACTTTGCGGCCCTCTCGAAATACAATCCGAGCGTTGAGGGCGTTGAATGAAACGCTTGACCGTATGCCTGGGCTCCTGATCGATCGATCTTGACGTGGCGACGTGGTCCGACCCTCGATCAGCGCAGACCTGCCTTCAGTGAAGCCTGAAGCTGCGCGCCAGGGCCGGATAGTTCCTTCCAAGGCAGACCCGCGCCTCGCGGGCCCGGCTCGCTCCCGTCCGGACCATGGAAGCCAGTCCGATGGAGGACTTCCTGCCGCTGACGGCGGGACCACAACGAGCGATCGCCCACCTCCTTGCACCCGGAGTGGGGGAGGCAAGATACGGGTACCTTTCCGATGACCGGCCCGGGGCCAACTTCCGGCGTCGTTCTCCGTCGAGCATGGTTGTCGTCCCACAGCTTGACCCACCAGACGGGCAACAGAGGGCCCACATGTTCCACGAGCCGCGGCCTTGCACCCGAGCGACCCGGGTCGCCCCCCACTCAAGCCCGCCCCACGCCTTGCTTTGAGCGTCGCGGCGTGCAGCCAGGCTTGTACCATTTGTCATGAAACGGAGCTCGAGCCGGTCCGTAGCATGGACGACGGGCATGGGTGAGCATCACGAGGCCTGAAAGCACGCTGTTCTGTAAGCTACTGTATTGCTGCCCTTGAACGGCAAATGCCAGCAACGGTGCCGAAGGTGGGTGGGGGTCGAAGCTCCCTTGTCCATCGCGCGAACTGTCGATGGGTCAACGGCGATTGAGGACATATAAGGCGGTGCAGCGTGTAGTTCCCGTACCAGCGTCGGAACATGGGCGTGGCAGGAGCGTGGTGCGAAAGAGCAGGGACAACGAACGGCGCACAGTGAATGGTAGCTTGCTCTCGACTCAGGTGCCGCTTTAACGACTGCCGCACCATGCTCAAATATGTAGAGACGAGGTGGGTGCATGTGTAGTGCTGCAATTGAGGTCACCGCCTTAGCTTTGTGGGTCTTCCGTTGTCAGGATCTGGGCACGCCCATCCCGGCCTCTGTCTGTTCCAGGCACGATTGCTCCGACCATCTTTGGCGCCGATTTCCGGCTTGTGGGGGTTTTAGTTGCCACCTACGGACGATAAGAGCGTGGGGCGGCACATATATACATAGGATAACAGCTGTCTCCACGAGCAAATTGGGACTACTCGCATCGTGCCGCTCGACGCGAGGACGAAACAGAAGATGAGCAAAATGGCGCCATAACCGGGCCTCATGCTGTACTGGCGTGAACACGCTTGAAGCTAGCGCTATCACGTCTCTGAGCCCCAGCCCGAGGACAGGTCTCTCATCTCATCAACTTTCCGGCCTGGCATGCTCAAACGAGGCCGCGACGGAGTCGCGTTCTTTAAAGGCCAACTGAGGAAGTCCTAGCCAGCCCTGAGCTGGCCGTTGGGCTATAAAATGCCCTGGCACCTCCCTCCCGACTGCCCCCTTCTTCAACTCACATCGCTCGAACAACCCTCCTCCCCCTCCTTCAGACCATCCTTCTTAAACTCCCTCAACCTTCCCCACCGTCCGCCATGAAGCTTGCTGCTCTTCTTTCCCTCGTTCCGACGCTGGCCTTTGGCGCCCCGGCGTCCAACAACTTCATCCTCGGTTTCACTTGGTCCGACGGGTCTCAAGGCTTTCTCACTGCGGACAAGCTCACGAGCAAGATTTGCTACTTTCCGCTGAAGCCGGTCAGCGACGAGGTCGACAGGTTGTGGTTCTTGAAGCTGAACGAACAAGACGCTGTTCAAGGTAGCTACGGCGATTGCGGTGCCTTGATGAACCAAGGTGGCGGTGAGATCTACCTCAAGCAGATCATCAACCTCATCGCCGATGGACGTCCGGTGCCTGGCGCCAGGATTGACTGTGAGTCAAGCGTGGTAGATGCCATAGGACTGGGCTGCTCTGCTGACGAGCATCTCTCGCCATATCACAAGACCTCTACGGGGATAATCGGATGACCCACAACCTTAACGAGGTGTGGCATCGTGTCGGTTAGGGGTGGCGAAAAGCAGCCCGACGCTGGGTGCGAGAAGCGCGCTGTCTCTCATCCAGCCGTTTGAGCCGACGCGGCGACTCACGAGACGCTACTCTCAACACCTACCACTCGTTGGACCTTGTCGGTCTAGCATCATCTACACACCGCCTCCTCGCCCCCTCCCCTGACCCCCTTCTTTCCCCTCCCCCAGAGCCCGAAAGTGTCGCTGGGTGCCTCAGCTCTGCTTCTCATTTTCATGATTTCTTACTCTACATGAGCCTTTGCCAGCGATCGCCTGTGTGGGCATCACAAAACGACAGTGCGACTGGCAGAATGTGTGTGTCCAGCCGTTCGAACCTGTGTAAATGCCCTCGAAAGCGAGGAAAGAGGGTAGTCAGGGGGTTTCACCTGCGCACCACGAATGTAGTTACCATCGTGTCGGAGGGCGCCACGCCGGCCGCCAGGAAGTCAATGTTTGTCGCCCGAGATGCGGGGTGTTGAGGCCATTGACCCCAACGAACGCAGCACAAGAGCACCGGCGGCAACTCTGGGGCGTGTGGGAGGCACGCGACGCTGCTGCTGACCTTTGCTCGCAGTACGTTTCCAAAGCCGGCTGTCTTGCCGGGCTCCGTGTCGAAAGACGCAGCCCCGCACTCGGAGCGCACCCGAGAGCCTTGCGCCGCAGCTCGATGGCCTCCCGACAATTCTGGCCGTTGTCACCGCTCCACGCCCATTCTCTCATTCCGGTCGTTGCAGCCGAGTGAGCCTGACCGGGGATCGCGGCCCGAAGTTGCGAGCAGTCTAGTGTACAAGGAGCGCCATCGATACCCGTCACTAGCTTGCCAACGTCGCTCGCGACCGAAGCCGCCCAGGAGAGGGTCCAAAACGTCGCAGTCAAAAGGGGACGGCGCCCAATGCGCGGTGCGGTGTGGGCGGGCAAGTGGGCGGCGGCGGGCACCGAGGCTGTGCACACCCGATACCGACACGATGCTTGTGAGGTCGGGATGTGGGTCGGTTGACTTGGTGCACCCACGCACGATTGGGTGGCACGGCAACGGGGCTTCGATTCGTCCTGATGCCGGGACGCCTGCCGTCGGGGCACCGTCGTGTGGGCGCGCTTGGACGTCAATCGCAATACGCTCTCGCTGCGCTCTGTGTGACGGTCATACGTGCAGGACCAAATCGAGGCTGCCGCTGCAGCTCGCAAGAGGTCATCCCACGACGAACCAGATCGAACCAGGTCGAAGTACGAGCCATGAACGCCCCCTGAGCGTAAGCCGACGTTGCGTCGCCGATTGCCTGGTGGGTTGGTCGGCCGACTCCTTCGGCCCCTGGTTGCTGTGTGGTACGTACACATGCGATGAGCGCAGTAGTGCGAGATACGGCTGCCACGTACAAGAAAAATCGGTTACGTACGTCCATACATATTCAAACGCCCGAACGTGGGGCTCGAGGCGTGCTATTGTCGTGCTTGCAGCCAAAGGGGGAGCCGGCGCCGAACACGCATCCGTGCTGGCAACCTGTGGCGACCCAAACGTCCTCCCCTTGTACGCCACTCGATCTAGCCGTTCGTGGGCCTACCGCGCGGTCCGGCCCGACTGGGGCGCTTTGCGGAGCCAAGGCCGTCAGCAAGAGCGGACAGCACCCTGTGCGGCCTTTATCGAGCAGGACGGGATGCCCTAGCCCGGCCCATGGCCATGGTCATACGGCTATAAAAAGCCCTCTATCTGACCCCCTTCCTCAGCTCATCCACCTCACCTCACCTCAACTCACCTCAACTCACCTCACCTCACCTCGTCACCATGAAGCTCGCTGCTCTCTTCACCATCGTCCCTCTTCTGATCGGCTCGGCGTCGGCCGTGCTTCACACCATCGCGCTCGATCACACGCCCGCCTATACCCTCGGCGGCTTGTTCAAGTACGACACCGACCTCAAAAACTTCTGCTTTGTTGCCAACAAGGCCGCCGATGCGAGCGACCAGTCTCGTTGGGAGCTGTTCTACAAGAACACGGGCATTCAGGCGGGCGGCATGTACAACCAGTGCGGCGGGTTCCCTGGCGCACCCGATGGTAACCTCGTCAACCTCGAGATGAGCTACCGCAATCTGATCGCCTCGAACAAGGCCATTCCCGGATCTCGCCTGGTCTGTGAGTAGTGATGCGGCAGGGGGTCATATACGGGAGTCGCGGGCCGTCGCTTATCGCCGAGATCCACGTCCGGAATCGCCTGTCCTGGCCCATGCAGTCACCGACGGCAACGGCCGCAACATTGGCACGGCGGACCTCTCGAACATGAAGTGGACCTGAGCTGGTTGAGTGTGCCAGGTCTTCAAAGGTCGGTCGTACTCGTTCGGGAAGCGCCTTGGCTCGTCTTGCACGGCCGTCGAACCGCCGCTGGTCGCGATGCGCCTCGGCGTTCCTCGGACCGCAAGACGGCGCTCGTTCCACGAGCGTCGAGGCGGTCCAACGATGACCTTTTGGGGGGCCCTTGGCGACACCGTCAACGCAGCGATGTCAGCCGTAGACCGCCTGCTCCTCGTTTCGACGTGTAGCCAGACGCCACCCTGCCTCTCCCACACAGTTTGAGCCATGTCGCCGTGATTCGTCAACATCGTTTTCATTTGTTCACCACCGTACTCACAGCCAGCGCCAGTCTGGGGCTCTGCGGGGTCGCAATCGCGGCTGCTGGGAAGGTAGGTCGGCGATGGTGAGCGGGGTCCGGATGGGCGGTGCGTCGATGGCGGGCGAGGACCGGTAGAGCGACTCAGAGGCCGCTGTCTGCTGGTGTGCGGATCCGATGCTGCAGAGCCAGGCCGGGGTGCAGCGAAAAAGGGATGAAGGCGGGCAGGCGGGCAGGCGGGAAGGCGGGCAGTGGGGCAGTGCGGGGAGTGGGTTCAAAGGAGGCAGGCAGAAAGGGGCCTGTGCGGCGGTGGGGCGAGTAGTCCTACCTCCTGGCTGGCTGACGTGCTTCCGACATCGATCGAGGCGGGCCGCGAGGCCGGGCTTGGCTGGCTGGCTGAGCAGCCAGACGTCGAAGGAGCGGCGGCCTGGTCCCAATCGAGCCGGCCTGCGCTGGCGCGGCCTGGCTGCCTCTCTGGCCTGCTTGCTCGCATCTCGGCCGCAGCTGAGCCCCGCCTAGCCTGATCGTCCCAGCCAGCACCAGACAGGCAGGTGCGGCGCGAGGGACGTGCACGGGCGCCAGGCCGATCAGTCAGCCAAAGCACCGCCCCGCCTGCCTAGCCTGCCTGAGCTTCGATCTCTACATATCCCGCCTGTTCCAGCCCAAGCCAGCCAACCTGGCAGGCAGGCTCCGGTTTGG